TTGACATACTCTTGCCTTTCAGTCTCAAGTTCAAATCCTAAGCTAATCATATTTCACTAACCCCCGTCTCCTACTCAGGGGCGGATCCAGAATTTTTCAAATGGGGGCACAACATACTCAGAATAGATAAGTGAGTTATACAGTATGCATTGAAATTAAAGGAGAACACAAAAGGGCTGTAAAATCATCCTCAGGCCAAAATGAGTTTTGTTACGAAGGCATAGAGCATACCATTTACTTCAGGGTATGTTCACACACACAGCGTAAGACTGGTGTAGCTTAGGCCGGCATAAGATAATCCATGGATCAAAATTCTAAAAGTGTTCACATAAAGGGTGTTCGCTAAACTATTAGTAATATAGGCCTATGGGGGAATAGTTTTCAGTTTTAAATAATGTACCGTTTCTTAACTGTAGTAAAATATTTACAGTGCATCATTAAAACTTTTATATCTGTGAATTGTTGGAAGTGAACTTACATGATTACTGTATTTTAAATGAACTAGCATTGTGGAACAATTGTTGGTGTTGCAGGTTTTAATAGACAGTTTAATAGGTTAAAACATTTTACAAAACACAATCAACAAATCATATACATTATAACTAAGTAAAGTGCAATAGAAAAAGAACCCCTTTACCATTTCATTCATAGAGAGCACAGCAAAGGGATCAAAGTAACTATTGCCATCGTGATTGGTCAATCTCTTGGAAGACGGTCAAATCATTAAAATATCACTGGCGTTAGCTCCGTGGCGTTAACTAATCTGGGGTCTGCAGGTAGGCTTAATAACGCCACAGAGGTGGCATTATGAATGGTGCCACTGCCACTGCCGCAAAGCACCGCACTACCACCGCCACACACAAAGGCTTACGCTAGCCTTATGCCGTGTGTGAACATACCATTAAATTGACAGTTAAATGAACTCAATCGGGTGTCTGGAAGCAAAGTTATGACCGTTTGAATACTTATCATCTTATCAACTTTCTTAAATCAAGTTTTGAGAAAAATGCCTTTATTTTCGGCCGGTGTCTATTCATTTTTATTACTAACTCTCATCTGAAAATGTTTAAATTTTACCTTTTACAGTTGGAATTTTAAACTCAAACTTCAGGAATAGTAAGATTAATAGTTATAATTTATTTGTTACAAAAACCCTAATTCACACAAAATTTATGTTCTACCGCCTATTCTGGTAATTGAGGCTTGTTTCTCAATACAGTTTACAGCCCTTTTATGATCTTGGGTCACAAATTTAGTGGCGAAACCTTGTGCCTCATTAAAATATTTTGAGGATGTCACACTATAGCAAAAAAGCTAGTCGTCAATGGTGTGACGACAGCATACTGTAGTATTGAAGTCTTGTGTATAACAAAATACATCTCACACTGCCATACTCATTTATCATTCATATGCCAAATATGTTTGCTATAAAAAGTTTATAATCCTTTTTAGCAATAATTTAAATATGTTGACAGTCTTGTGACCAGATGAAATCCTCATGTAGAATTAAACTTCATATCAAAATTTATCAATTCAGATTAATGAATAGACTCCTATTCCTATTTGTGTCAGGGCATCAAGGTTTGTTTGCAGAAAAGGATGAAAAGGAAAAGTTAGTACCGAATTTAACATAAAATTATTTTATCTGGTACCAATCTAAGCTCTTCTTTCCTTAGATGTTAGATGTGCGATGTATAGTACATGATATGTAAATTACATCTAGTAAACAATTAATGTGATGTATAGTACATGATATGTAAATTACATCTAGTAAACAATTAATGTGATGTATAGTACATGATATGTAAATTACATCTAGTAAACAATTAATGTGATGTATAGTACATGATATGTAAATTACATCTAGTAAACAATTAATGTGATGTATAGTACATGATATGTAAATTACATCTAGTAAACAATTAATGTGATGTATAGTACATGATATGTAAATTACATCTAGTAAACAATTAATGTGATGTATAGTACATGATATGTAAATTACATCTAGTAAACAATTAATGTGATGTATAGTACATGATGTGTAAATTACATTTTAGTAAACATTTGCAGAGTGCAGCCATTGTGGTTGACATACTCTTGCCTTTCAGTCTCAAGTTCAAATCCTAAGCTTCATATTTCACTAACCACCGTCTCCTACTCAGGGGCGGATCCAGAATTTTTCAAATGGGGGCACAACATACTCAGAATAGATAAGTGAGTTATACAGTATGCATTGAAATTAAAGGAGAACACAAAAAGGCTGTAAAATCATCCTCAGGCCAAAATGAGTTTTGTTACGAAGGCATAGAGCATACCATTTACTTCAGGGTATGTTCACACACACAGCGTAAGACTGGTGTAGCTTAGGCCGGTATAAGATAATCCATGGATTAAAATTCTAAAAGTGTTCACATAAAGGGTGTTCGCTAAACTATTAGTAATATAGGCCTATGGGGGAATAGTTTTCAGTTTTTAATAATGTACCGTTTCTTAACTGTAGTAAAATATTTACAGAGCATCATTAAAAATTTTATATCTGTAAATTGTTGGAAGTGAACTTACATGATTACTGTATTTTAAATGAACTAGCATTGTGGAACAATTGTTGGTGTTGCAGGTTTTAATAGACAGTCTAAAGAGGTTAAAACATCTTACAAAACACAATCAACAAATCATATACATTATAACTAAGTAAAGTGCAATAGAAAAAGAACCACTTTACCATTTCATTAATAGAGAGCACAGCAAAGGGATCAAAGTAACTATTGCCATCGTGATTGGTCAATCTCTTGGAAGACGGTCAAATCATTAAAATATCACTGGCGTTAGCTCCGTGGCGTTAACTAATCTTGGATCTGCAGGTGGAGGTGGCATTATGAATGGCGCCACCGCCACTGCCTAGTTCACACACAAAGGCTTACGCTAGCCTTATGCCTTGTGTGAAATACCATTAAATTGACAGTTAAATGAACTCGATCGGGTGTCTGGAAGCAAAGTTACGACCGTTTGAATACTTATCATCTTATCAACTTTCTTAAATCAAGTTTTGAGAAAAATGCCTTTATTTTCGGCCAGTGTCTATTCATTTTTATTACTAACTCTCATCTGAAAATGTTTAAATTTTACCTTTTACAGTTGGAATTTTAAACTCAAACTTCAGGAATAGTAAGATTAATAGTTATAATTTATTTGTTACAAAAACCCTAATTCACACAAAATTTATGTTCTACCGCCTATTCTGGTAATTGAGGCTTGTTTCTCAACACAGTTTACAGCCCTTTTATGATCTTGGGTCACAAATTTAGTGGCGAAACCTTGTGCCTCATTAAAATATTTTGAGGATGTCACACTATAGCAAAAAAGCTAGTCGTCAATGGTGTGACGACAGCATACTGTAGTATTGAAGTCTTGTGTATAACAAAATACATCTCACACTGCCATACTCATTTATCATTCATATGCCAAATATGTTTGCTATAAAAAGTTTATAATCCTTTTTAGCAATAATTTAAATATGTTGACAGTCTTGTGACCAGATGAAATCCTCATGTAGAATGAAACTTCATATCAAAATTTATCAATTCAGATTAATGAATAGACTCCTATTCCTATTTGTGTCAGGGCATCAAGGTTTGTTTGCAGAAAAGGATGAAAAGGAAAAGTTAGTACCGAATTTAACATAAAATTATTTTATCTGGTACCAATCTAAGCTCTTCTTTCCTTAGATGTTAGATGTGCTTGCAAAGAGAGCCACATTTCACACTGAAGGGTGTGTACGACATCAGTAATG